TTCAACCATTAATTGTGCATTCAGTTCGATTTTTCCAAATGCACGCCTGAGTGCAACCAGTTCCACCTCCTTCTTCTTCAACATCCCGAGCAACTCGTCCTGGGTCCACCAAAGGCCTTCATCGTCTGTCATGTAGCGGCCGCATTGTCTCTTCAATGCGGAATCGTTCGGAACCTTACCTTGAACACCGTAGGGCACTTTACACCCAGACCGAGGCTTACGCTCATCCTTGTCATGAATCTCCGAAGCCGTGGTATACTCGTATCGTTCACGACATTCCTCAAGGTATTTCTCTTCCGTGAGAGAATCGGCGAGGTAATCGTCGAATACAGCAGATGCCTGTCCGCCTCTGGAGATCGCCATGAAAAAACAACGAACATACCAGTAGCAAAATTAGATGATAACCTAACGTGTTTTATGATGCATGCTCCAACCTTCCCCTCCTCCCGTCTGCCTGCATGTTCGTTTAGCCCTTACGTAACGTTTACCAGAAAAAATAAAAAATCAATCAATCAATCGATCAAATTCATTGATTGATTAATTGAGAGAGAGAGAGAGAGAGAGAGAGAGAGAGAGAGAGAGAGAGAGAGAGAGAGAGAGAGAGAGGGAGGGAGAGAGAGAGAGAGTCCCCTTACTCCTAATTGAAGCTCATACGCTACACGTCGTACCGCCCTACCTAAGATCCCTCCTCTGTTTCCCAATCCTATATTCCCTTGAGCATGGTGGTGGTTGGCTATTGGGGTAATGGAGGAAGGTGGCGTGAAGGAGGTCGACTATGGTGGATCAATATAGAAGGTTGAGGAGGAAGGAGTGCTTGTCTGCCCGCATGCCTGCCTGCCTCCCTACTGCATGTCTGCCTGCCTGTCAACATCCTTGCACAGGTCCAGACCCTACACGCATGCGTATGACGGGGAAAAAAAAAAGGCTCAGACCAAAAAATAGTGGGTCCGAGCCTGTATGCAAGGCCTGTGCATGGCAGTGTGGTTGTGTCCCCTACATGCTACGCACCTGGGCCTGTCTGTCCGGCCTTCCCCGGGCCTGTCTTTGTGGCCTCCTCCCAGCCTGTGTCCCAGACCTGACGCTCAAGTTGTCTCCCGGACCTGACCCTGGACCTAGCGCATGATACACCCCCTGGACCTGGACGTGATACAATCTCTGGGCCTGCGTCACACAGACCTGACCATATTTTTGGCCCCTCCCTGATCTGGGTCTGACAGATAGTCAGACTCACAGCTTGCGTGCCTGCCTGTCTGCGTCAACGTTCATACAACCCCACAACCACACCCAGGTCCTGCCTCCGTGCGTCCATAGGTCCAACCACAGGTCCAAGCCCAAGTTTGACTCTAGGTAGACTTGAAAACAACGTCGGGCCCAGACCCAGGTCAACGGGGGTGCTGGGGTAGACCAGCGCCAGGGCAACGTGTGGGACTGGACATGGGCTAGAACTTGGACCTCTGCTTTGAAAGGGGGGCGGGGGGGGGAAAAGCAAAAAAAAAAAAAAAAACCTGCACATGGGCCCGAGCAACGTTTTAAACCTGGGCCTAGACCCAACACCCAGGATCCAGACGTAGTCTGGGCCTTTCCGCAGCTCCAAACCATAGTGTTTGTCTGCCTGCGTGCGTGTCTGTCTCCCTGCATGTTTGTCTGCCTGCATGTCTGCCTGCGTGTTTGCATGCGTGACTGCCTGCGTGTGTGCCTGTCTATCTGCCTGTTTGCCTTCGTGCCTACCTGCATGCATGTCTGCCTGTCGGTGCCTGTCTGTCTCCCTGTCGGTGCCTGTTTGTCTGTCTGTGTGCCTGTGTGCCTGTGTGCCTGTGTGCCTGCGTGCCTGTCTGTCTGCCCACCTATCTGCTTGCCTGTCTCCCTATGTGTCCGCCTGTCTGTCTGGCTGCCTACCTGCCTGTGTGTGCATGCCAGGCAGCCTACCTACCTACCTATCTGTCTGCCTGCTTGCTTGCTTGTCTGCCTGCCTCCTGCCTACTTCATGTCTGCCTGCCTGCCTAGCAGGCTGTGTTTGCCTGCCTACTTGCAACTGTACTTGCTGCATGACTGCGTGCCTGTCTGAGCATGGCTACGTGTCTGTCTGCTGCATGCCTGCATGCCTGCGTGCTGCATGTCTGCCTGCCTGTCTGCCATGCCTGCTTCCCTGCCTCCCTGTCTGCCTCTTTGCCTGTCTGCCTACCCGTCTGTTTGTCTGTCTGCCTGCCTCCCAAGGTCCAGGTCAACACGACACAGGCCCAGTCAACATCGGCACAGGCCTGGGCAACGACTTAACTAAACCTCACCACACGCGCGGGCCCAGACCCAAGTCAACGGCGGTACAGGGTGAGACCAGGGCCACGTCAACGTCTGCCACTGGACCAGGCCTATAAATAGATGCCAAATGCCTGGCACCAAATCATTAATGATGTGTCGAGCTCACATTTGCCGCTACTTCTTCTACAGTTCTACTCCCTGCTCAATTCTTTGACCTTCTTCATCTTCAACAATTCTCTCTTTC